CCTTCTCCTCCTGCCTTCATTCTTTCCCAGCATCAGGGTCTTTTCCAATGAGTCAGTTCTTCACATCAGGTGGCCAAAGTATTGGAGTTGCAGCTTCAACATCAGTCCTTCCAATGAACACCCAGGACTGATCTTCTTTAGGATGGACTGGTTGGATCTCCTTGCAGTTCAAGGGACTCTCAAGAGTCTTCTCCAACACCACAGTTCAAAAGCATCAATTCTTTGGCACTCAGCTTTCTTTATAGTCCAACTCTCACATCCATACATGACTACTGGAAAAACCATAGCCTTGACTAGATGGACCTTTGTTGACAAAGTAATGTCTCTGCTTTTTAATATGCTGTCAAGGTTGGTCATAACTTTCCTTCCAAGGTGTAAGCGTCTTTTAATTTCATGGCTGCAATCACCATCTGCAGTGATTTTGGAGCCCCCAAAAATAAAGTCAGCCACTGTTTCCACTGTTTCCCCATCCATTTGCCATCAAGTGATGGGACCGGATGCCATGATCTTAGTTTTCTGAATGTTGAGCTTTAAGCCAACCTTTTCACTCTCTTCTTTCACTTTCATCAAGAGGCTGTTTAGTTCTTCTTCACTTTCTGCTATATGGGTGGTGTCATCTGCATATCTGAGGTTATTGATATTTCTCCCGGCAATCTTGATTCCAGCTTGTGCTTCTTCCAGCCCAGTGTTTCTCATGATGTACTCTGCATATAAGTTAAATAAGCAGAGTGACAATATACAGCTTTGACGTACTCCTTTTCCTATTTGGAACCAGTCTGTTGTTTCATGTCCAGTACTAACTGTTGCTTCCTGACCTGCATACAGGTTTCTCAAGAGGCAAGTCAGGTGGTCTGATATTCCCATCTCTTTCAGAATTTCCCACATCATAGCCAAACTGCAGAAATGCAAAGATGAAAGAGCCAGAGAAAGACATTAGATACAAAAGAACAATAATACAATTGAAAACTGATGGCTCTTTAGAAACCATGGAAACCAGACAATAAATGCCTTTCAAATGATGGAAGAAACAACCCAGCATTCTATCTTTAGTGAAACTATCCTTCGAAGATGAAAGTAAGAGTCATTTTCAATGAAAAAAAAAAAAAAAAACCGATTAGTCACCAGCAGCCCTGCACAATTCTTGAGAAAATTCAATCTGAAGTATCATTTGGACTCGCAAGGAATGAAGAATATCAGAAATGGCTCAGATGTTTAGATGACACCACCCTTATAGCAGAAAGCAAAGAAGAACTAAAGAGCCTTTTGATGAAAGTGAGAGTGAAAACGTTGGCTTAAAACTCAACATTCAGAAAACTAAGATCATGGCATCCAGTCCCATCACTTCATGGCAAATAGATGGAAACAGTGACAGACTTTATTTTTGGGGGCTCCAAAATCATTGCAGATGATGACTACAGCCATGAAATTAAAAGATGCTTGCTCCTTGAAAGAAAAGCTATGAGCAACCTAGACAGCGTATTAAAAAAGAGACATTACTTTGCCAACAAAGGTCCATCTAGTCAAAGTTATGGTTTATCCAGTAGTCATGCATGCATGTGTGAGCTGGACTATAAAGAAAGCTGAGTGCCAAAGAATTGATGCTTTTGAACTGTGGTGTTGGAGAATTGAGAGTCCCTTGGCCACCTGATGTGAAGAACTGACTCACTGGAAAAGACCCTGATGCTGGCAAAGATTGAAGGCAGAAGGGGACAACAGAGGATGAGATGGTTGGATGGTATCACCATCACTCTAGGGATATGAGTTTGAGTAAGCGCCAGGAGTTGGTGAAGGACAGGGAAGCCTGGCGTGCTGCAGTCCATGGGGTTGCAGAGTCGGACACGACTGAGTGACTGAACTGAACTGAAATATAAAAAAAAATACTATATACAGGCATAGCTTGTTTTTATTGCACTTTGCTTCATTGTGCTTTGCAGATGTTGTATTTTTTATGTCAAGTCTATCAATGCCACAGCACTTGTTCACTTCATGTCTCTGTGCTACCTTTTGTTAATTCTCACAGTAATTCAAATTATTTCACTTGTATCATATTTGTTATAGTGACCTGTAATCATTGATCTTTTTTATTCCTGCCTTTGGCTGCACCTCTGCAGCTTATGGGATTTTTGTTCCCCAGCCAGGGATCAAATCCATGCCCTTGGCAGCAAAAGCAGAGTCCTAACCACTGGACCACCAGGGAATTTCCTCAGTGATCTTTGATGTTATTAAGTGTTGTAAAATGATTATGACTCACTGAAAGCTGAGATGATGGTTAGTTACTTCTTAGCAAATAATGTATTTTTAAATTAAGTTAGATACTTTTTCATTGGATTAATGATTCTGTACACTTTATATAGAATACAGTATAAACATAACTTCTATATGGATTGGGAAACCGAAAAATTTGTGTGACTCACTTTGTGCTATTCCTATCATGTGGAGGACTGGAACCAAACCCACAATATCTCCAAGGTATGCCTGTATACAATCTCTTATTTTTTTGGAAAAAAAAAAAAAAAACATAGTCCTGTTTCAAACAAAAATTATGACATACTGTTGGATTTATCAGTTATAGCTAAAATATATGTTAAAAAACAACAAAAGAGAGTAAATGGAACTATACTGTTACAAGTTTCTATATTTTGTATGAGGTTGTATAATATTAATTCTAAGTTGATTGTGATAAATCAAAGATGTATATTGCAATCCCATAAGAACCATTAAAAACAATATAGTTTGAAAGAGAATAGGAAACTTAACAACAAAGTATGTAAAATATTCAACTAACCCCAAAAAAGGCAGGAAAAGAGGAACAGGGAGAGGGAAAAAAAAAATCCAAATGATAAACTGAACCCAAACATATCAATAATTGTATTAAATATAAATCAACCAAACACACAAAGTAAAAGGCAGAGATTGTTAGGCTAAATTAAAAAGCAAGACCCAAATGCATTCTATTCTTAGAGATGAGCTTTAAACACAAATTAAATGAGAAAAGATATACCATTTAGATACTAAGCATAAAAATTATTTCTATTTGTCTCCAACTTGAATAAATACTTTATTACATGTACTTTCCCAGTTATGTTTATTATATACCAATTATTTATCCACCTGGCTCTATTTGGGGTGATTTTTCTTTTTTTAATGTTTGGGTTTCATTTGACCCTTGACATTTATTTTTCTTCTAAATCACTCATATGACTGCTTCCTCCTGCTCCCCCCACTGTATGATTAATGAAATGTCTTATCAAGGGAAGCCTTTCAGGATTTGCTGGCCTCCCTTATCTGCACTCAAAGAATTCCAGCCTTTGATCTAGCTATTAAAGCCAGTAATGATTCTTAATTGCCTGCAGTTTATTTCATTTTTGTTTACTTTGTTCCTTTTATATATTTTATTTCATTTTTGGTTTTGTCTATTTCTACGACTCTGAGGTGGGCCTAGGCCAGACTGACGTGCTCCCCCTTCATTATTGCCTCCCTCTCAGACGAGCATCTGCCTTCTCCCTCATTTTTCTTTCAACTCTTAGTTGTCCTCATCAGTTTTTCTCTTCCACTTAGAAAAGAGTTTATAGCTCTTTTTACTGTAGAGACCTTCTAAACAGAATTTCAAAATTAGACAAACTTAAGTTTGCAAGAATTTTTCTACATTCTTTAAACAATACTGAAGCTCTAACGCTCCCTCAAACTTGGACAATTCATAGCTGGGGCAGGGCTGGAAAGGAACATGACTATAATAACAAAGAAACTTCATACTAAGCATGACTACAAAGAATGGTTTTGTGGCATGTGACAAACCCACTCAACCATGTAAGTGAAAGGAACACCACCAATCCCCTTCTAGCCATCCTGGCTTCATAAAGAATTGCCTATTCCAACAAACTCCACTTGTGTCGGGCACCACTTTTCCCAAACCATGACCTTAGAAAAGAAACCTAATAAATTAACAATTATTTGGCAACCTAATAAATTAACAGAGTTGTGGGAGACACAACTCTGCTCTTTTAACCATTTTAGACAGTGCTTTGAAAAATGATTTTAAATGTAAAGGCCTTACCTAACTGGACCACTGAACAAAAGTTATTTTAGAAGGTAACATGACAGAGGCAATACTAAGAACTGCTTGGGTTGTTGTTTACTTCTGAAAACTCAGGCCACATTCCGGTGCTTCGAGACTTTCCTTTTCAACATGGGTCACAGCTTAAAATATGCAGTCTAGACCACCAAGGGATTTTTGGTTAGCTAAACACTGATGGAAATGATTCATTTCGATTTGTCATGCAGTTTTAAGAAAAGATTTAAGGGCCTGCTATGCCTCCTATCAAGAGTAAATATCACACATCCTGTTTATACAGACTGGCTTGTCCACAGTTGTTCAAAGAGTTAGTGACACCCCCCAACTCACACTCCACCCTACCCCCAACTTCCTGCTCACTGGGGTGCTATATTCCTACTCATTTTTAAGAAGTGCCTCCCTCAACAAAATACTCTGTATTACAGGAATTTTTAAAGAAAATACTTTATTATGTCATGAAAAAAATGCATCAATCAACTAGATTCATACTTGTTTGAAAAAACAATTGAAAATTTATTAATTAGACAGTATGTGGGCATCCTGTTCCACATGGGAATGAGAAGATGCTATAGGTTCTCTAAGTATTGCACAGTCTGAAAAAAACACCAACGAAAAAAAAAGGGAAGGGAAGGGGGAAAAAAAAAAAAATCACATGATCTTGGGAACCATCTCACATTATGAATAATCTACCAAGAAACATTAAAAAAAGAAAACCCTTTGTTTCTACAGTAGCTCTGAGTTTATAGTTCTTGGAATGACTGTATTCCATTGATGACATTTCAGTAACAGGAAGCTTCATTTTTAGCAATCCCATGTGCAAATATTAATAAAAAAATATATAAAATAATGCAAATTCATCTTTTGCTATCATCCCAGCAATCATAACATTTGTTTTTGAGAACTCTTTTGCTTGGGAAAAAAAAAGGGGTTAAGCCATAAGTTTTGCCTGAAGCTCCATCTCTGCAGCCTGTTTGAGTGCAACATCTACCAGAAGCTGAAATCCACTGAAATCTTGGTTGAGGTCCGGTGGAGTAGGGGGAGGAGTGTTGAAAAGACCACTCTGTGTGTTTGCACTTGGTCCAGACTTACAGGAGTCCTCTGCATACATGAGGGAGGTGTCTGTAAAGCTGCTGTTTGCCATCTGCTGTATATCTGTGTTTTGTCCCACACCAACTGACTGGCAGAGAGAGAAAGGCACATCTTTCAATGCAGTCACCGTGGTATGACAGATCACTGATGGACGAGCCAAAATGGATCCCGGGGAGGACGGCTTAGGAGACAGTGGCCTCCCCAGGCCTGGGTTGGGCCCAGCTGTACAAGAGTGAAACGGGCTCTCCTCTAGAGCTGGCATGAGGTTCCTAATGCTCACTGCTGACTCCACAGAGCTGGCTTCAGTCATCTTGGCCCCACGGCGGGAAATTGTGAACCGATTTGGATCTTTGCCATCCTTTCTCAGCATGTCGGGGAGAAGCCTGCGTCGGGCGTTGATAAACCAGTTACAGACCTGAAATTGTACGGGGATGTTTTAGACATGTTAACACTCTGCCAACACGCCTGAGAACCTCCTTCATCTTGTTGCTGAATCACTCAGTAGTGTCCAACTCTCTGCAACCCCATAGACTGTGGCCTACCAGGCTCCTCTGTCATGGAATTCTCCTGGAATGGGTTGCCATTTCCTCCTCCAGGGGATTTTCCCAGTCCAGGGATCAAACCCGAGTCACCTGCATTGGCAGGCAGATTCTTTAACCCAGAACTTTCTTGGAGGATGCCTAACTGGTCTCTCTGCATTAAAGAAGGCATGAAAAGGCTTATAGGAACCTACACATTTATTTCAAGGTATTTTGAGCCCAGCCAAGAAAGGAGAGGTGCTTTCTATCATAAACCTCCTCCTTTTCTAATACAAATTCCCTTTTTGGCTTCTCATCATCCTTAAATCCTTTCAGGACAGAAAAAAAAAAAAAGGTATACGTTCTCAAATATCTGAAAATGATTTTAGAGAGGGAAGTTTACCTTTTAACTCTCCCCATATTAACCTATTATCTACTGCCCAGCATTGAAGTTAATCAACTACAGGAAAACCTTCCTGTATGAAAAGAGCCACTCCTCCCAGTTACTGATTTTTTTCCCAGTTCAAATGACTATGTCAACAGACAGGACATGAATTACCTCACTTAAGTCTGTCCTTGTTTAAATATCAAACCAGTTTCCTGGGCAATAGAGTAAGATTTAACCTCCTTTTTATGTTCGGTGCATAAAGGAAGGCTCTTTTAGGCATTAAAGGAAATGCTCTTTGACAGATGACTGTCAAGTGTTTCTGTTTCTCTAGATAGCTAACAGTTATTAGCTGTTAGCACTATAAACTTTACAAGAAAAAGATATGCCCCCCCACACACACCTTTGAGTGAGGAGGCAGTTTATTACTTGCTATATAGGAATGCTGTAAAGTGATTCTGGGGGGGGGGGGGGTGGATCCCACCACCCCTGGGAATGCCTTCTCCTTACCTGTAGTGTAGATAAGTGTGTTTGCTGGGACAGTAACGCTTTTTCTTGCTCCGAGGGGTAGGCGTTGTATCGGTGTTCATAGAGCCAGTCGCGGAGAATCTGAACAGACTCCTTGGGCAGGTTGCCCCTCCGCCTTCTCTTGCCTGAGCCAGCAGAAGAGGAGAGATCCAGGGGACTGTCCATGCTGTCATCATCTTCAGTCTCACTGCCAGACGCGGCCACAACACCTAGGACAGGACAGAGGCCAGCCATCAGCCGCTTTTATCAGCAGAGCACCTACTGCAAAGCTCACCTCTTTTAAACACTCAGCACAACCGCCTTTTCTCAACTTCTGAGAGCCCAGGGAAGCACCGGTGTTTCTTTGTCCTCAAACACCAGAGCTAAATCTGCAGAGTAATTCGACTCGTAGCGTATTCCAGATCCCCAGCCCACAGTCAGGTTCCCTTTTGTACCCACTTTCCTACAGGACTCAACGACTCACATTCTTTTTGAGTGAAGCTCAGAAAAGTCTAATCCAACAAACGAGACAAAGCTGCACCCAAGGCGAATAGCGTGCCACGTGTGAAACAGGAAAGGTGGCACAGCAGACGGGATGTGTCTGACAACCTCCTCGGTGAGGTCATTGCTAACTGGGAAAAACAAGCCAGCCAGTATCTTAATGCATGTTTCAAGCACTGTTCCTCCTCCCTCTTCCACTGCAGGTTTTGAAATAAAATGGAAGATTTTTTTCCCACTGATACAAGAAAGGAAAATTACACTTTTAACCCAGTTAGTATTCGAAAGATAAAATGCATGCCAGAATCTTCTGCCAGTTCCTTTTCCTTTTCACTGCTACTTCCTTTTATTCAAAACTAGACACCTCCTTTTAATGGACAGCACTAGTCACTTTTTACTAAATACAAACAACCACTGATGCTTTCAGTTTCATTGCATAAAAAGCTTTTTCTACTTTTAGTACTTATGTAAGACCTCAAAAGATGCCTAATACTGAGTAAATTTTTAAATTTCTATAAATTGCAATTGCCAGCTTAATCTGAACCTAGAATTCTACATATCAATAAGTAGGATTCCGCTTTAAATCATTACATGACAAAGAAAACTTGAATATGCAACTCCCAAAGGAAACTCTTTTGTTTACAGGCACTTTAATCCTACCAGAAATTTTAAAAATTCACACACCATAGAGAATATTTAAATCACACTTAGACTGGGTTCCACAAAAATTCAAACATGGTCCTTTCAGACATTTAAAGATAAATTTGACTTTTTTTTTTTCCTGGCTCTGCCTCGAGGCATATGGGGTCTTAGTTCCCCCAACCAGGAACAGAACCTGAACCCCCTGCATTGGAAGCTTGGAGTCTTAACCAAAAAACTGCCCCCAAATTTTGAACTTTAACTTTCCCCCTTTCAAAACTACAAAAGGCTACTCTGACTAAAGAAAATGAATTCTTGTTTTTGAAGCATACTACAGTATGCTCTAAAAACCAGTATTTCTATGTAAAAGAAATTAAAGTAGCATGAAATGTAAAGGTAGGCATTCTCATTAACGTTGTTGACAGAACCTCAAGTAGTTTACCTTGGTAGGAAATAAAAACAGAATATTCCTCAGAGTGATAAACCATTCAATGGCTTTTAAAGGAATTTTTCCAAAACCCCTTCCTTTTAAAGCATTTGATGCATCACCAGTTAACTGAATCTAACTCTACTTGCTGACACATTTTCAGCTTTGGACAGCAGGGGGCAGAAGGTGCCAGAGGGAGTGTCCACAGAAAACGCAGAAACTTCCAAAGACAAAGTAAAGCAAGTTCTAACAAAAGAGGAGGATGATCTTGCAAATTCACTTCAGCTCAAGGCTTCATGAACAAACAGCCATCAGTAAAAGGCCCCAGAATCCTAAATTTTAACCGCTGCCACATATCTGATGTCTCTTTCCCCAGAAGATTTCATTAAACTGCTTAAAAAAAAAAAGTTTCCAAAAAAAGGAGGCAAAATTAAAACTGAAAGTGCTTTTCACTGTTGAGCAGATGAAAACCTTTAAAAACCCATGTTAAAATTTGGGTGAAGAAGTATTGACCAAAAAATCCTTAAGAAATTAAAATCTGCACACTGAACAGTGAATTCCCAACTGTAAACTGATAATCACAAATAGTTTGAAACAAACAAAAAACCCCTAAAGTGTGTCCTTTGATCTGCTTACTTGGTTTGACAAGAAGCCGTCACTCTCAAAACAGGCGAGTGACAGAAGGTATACACCAGTTAAGCAATACTCTGCTCTCCGTTCACTAGAATCAATGAGTGCCAGGCCTCCGGACGTCTTAACAAAGCTGAAGGAACAGGAAGTTAAGACTTCAGTCCCTTGGCTGCCCCAGCTGGTATTTCACTACAGCAAACCACGTTTGCTGCTGTCAGGGCTGTTTCCATTAAAACTCTCCCTCCGGACTGTGGCTCAACTTGGAATAACAAAAAGACTTTTCCACGTTACTCATTTCCTATTGTCAAAGGGCTTTTGAACGCTCTCCCGGTTACGACTTGTTTCCAAACGTCTTGCTCTGCTCACGCTTTAAAAAATGTGGTGATGGGGGTGGGGGGAGCTGGGCGGGAAGCGGGGATCACAAGCCTCTTACTCCATCCACATACAAGGAAATGTTGTTTAGACAGCCACAAGATGGCCTATGGATCCCACAACCCTGAAAAGCACTCCCCGCCCCCGCCCCCCCGCCCCGAATAGGAACAGAGGAGCGGCAGAGCACTGGGAAGGGTCAGAGATAGTGGTTGTGAAGTTGGACTTTAAAAAATAAAATCTGAAAGAGGCTAGAAAGGGATCTCGGAATAAGAATAACCGAAGGGAACTTATAAGTGTACTATTAGGAAAAAGGAAACCTAACAAGTTTCCAGATCTTAACATCTCGGGAGAAGTGACAGGAACCCTACTTAACACCCCAGACACTAGATCCAAGGAGCCCACCCCGTCAGGAGCCGGGAGCAATGACACTTGGGGGATTTTCCTCAACGAGTCTTCTGCTCGTTTGAAAGTCACTTGGGGATATCTTTTTGGCATCCTCAGTTTTCTAAGGCGGGACACCTATTATCACTAGCCAGTCTTACAACCCCCTGGCTCCACGATTGACTTTTTTAAAAAGTGCTTTTATTTTCAACAAAACTTGAAAAGAGTTTCACAGACTTTCGTAAGACAGGCAGACAATCGTCGGACTCGGCGAGCTCGGCGGGGCCAGGTCTCTTCCGGAGCATCGGGGGAGGCCGCTGGGCGCGGGGCCCCCAGGTGGCCGGAGGCCGGGGCGGGGGCAGGCAGGGCCGGGCGGAATGAGCCGAGGGAGGAGCCCGGCCCCCGCCGGCCCGCAGGCTTTTGTTCCGCCAGTTCTTCGGCCCCCGCCGGAGTCGCCCCTCCGAGCTCACGAGCGAGAGAGCTCGCCCAGGCCTCGGAGTTTCAGATTACAAGAAGAAACTAGAAACCGGGCCGTGAATCTCAACGTCCGGAGGGGCCTGCCCACCCGCGGAGGATTTGCCAGGAAAACCTAAAAAGGGAAAGAAACCCGGGCCACCTCGGCAGCCTCTGCTCCCCCGCACGGGCTCTGAACCAGTCGGCGAAGTTTCCCCTCCAACACGTCACCTTTCATTGTTTCCATGAGTCGGCGCGCGGCGGCAGGACCGCGCGCCCCGGGGCAGCGCTCCCCGGAGATTCCCCCGGGACCGGCGGGTTCCTGCCGGGCCCCGGCTGGGGGAGGGGGGCTTCGAGGGAAGCGGAACGGGAGGCACGGTGGGGAGCGGATACCCCAGAGCCCGGGGGTGGTCGGGGAGGATCATCCCTGCCGCCCGCGCCAGAACCCGAACAATGGGGCAAGCTAAGCCCTGCTTTCGCACCCCTAGGGGCACCCATCAGAAACACCCTTCCCCCAAATTATCCCCGGCAGTTCACCACGAGGGAGGAAACGCCTCCCTCCCGGGGACGGTCTGAACCTGTCAGTCCTCTCCAAACTGACACGATACCCCCTCCCCCGACGCCCCCTGTGCGCTTCCCGCGCGTGTTTTCTCTCCCAGTCCAGTTAAACATCCAAATTTCTGAGCCCCCCAGGTCCCCGGCGACGGGACGCGGGGAGTTGGTCCAACCTCAAGTACCAACGCCCCCCCCCGGGGGTGGGGGGCGTTGAGTTTGACTCCCGCCCGCAAAGCGGGAGGTGCGGGGCTCCGCGTGTTTGAGTCACCGGCCCGGGGTCAATCGAACGTAAGTCCAAAGTGAAAACGTGGCCGAGGACACACGCTCTCTCTCGGTCCGGGGCTGCCCTACTCTAACTTGAGTCTGTGAACCGTATTCGCCGCACGAGTCTGGAAGAACGTGGAGCAGGGGCCAGTCTGGGCATGCGCAACACACCCCCCCACCCCCCCCGCCACCCCCCCGATGCTGGCTTCCCCCAGCGATTAACTTCTGTTTTGAACCACTCGACATAAATCACAACAGAAAAGCCAGCTCCGGCCCACGACGGAACGTTCGGGGTGCCTCCCTGCCCGGGACTCAAAAGTTAACTTCAAAAGGGAGTTAACATTCTTTGACCTTTCGTGGTGGTGGTGGTGTTTTTTTTTTTCTTTCTGTATATTTTGTTTTTAAACCAGACTGACGGCAAGTTTCAGTTGTAAAGCTTCCAGAAGGCCTGGTGGAAACAATGACAGACTCGCTCTTTGCATGTCACACTTGGATTCGTTCTCACTGCACGCCCTCAGTCCTAACTCTTCCTCTTGCCCCAAATTCATCGTGGGAAAACTTTTGTGACGCTAGGAATTCTGGAAAATCTTAACTTTCCAAAGAGACCGACCCCCCGGGGGCGATCTGGGGTCCAGAGTCGCGTTCCTCCGAGGGTGAAAACGCCCCATCCCGGGAAAAGTCGTGCCCGGACCCTGCCGGGAGCGAGTGGAGAGCCCCGGAGTCCAACTTTCAGACAAAGCGCCGCGACCCCGCGGGCCGGGCCACCCCGGGTCCCGACGGAGAAAAGCGGGGCGGGGGTACCCCCCGACTCGGGACCCCAGTCCCCCGCCCGCGAGAAGCCACGCGGCGCCTCGGCGGAGCGTGGGGTGTCGGTTTGGAGACAATGAAACTTGGGAGGCGCACAAACAAGGCGCGGAGCGTGCTTCTTGACAACGTGCCAGCAGCGTGGAGAGGCCCGTCTCCCCACAACAGCCCCTCGTGTTGTGTCTGGAAGGAAAACAGCAACGGCCG